GGGGGGGGCTGTCTTGTCTCTCTCATTTTCTGCTACGTGACCTACCGAGATTATCGCACGTGCTATTAGACTCCTATTATTTCCTTTCTACCGTTCTTTCTACTAGACTAGATGAGAATTAAAAAGTTTTAATAAGAAAAACAGTCGTTCATTTATCGTTTCCCATTTATTTCATCGATGGAAATACATTACAGAGGACAACCCGTTCTGCCCCGTTAGGTCTTGCGAAACCAATGAAATTAATTCAATTGAATTAATAAATTTTTTTTAGGAAAAAAAATTACGATAACATTTCTTAAAATGAAATTTCTACTTCATTTTTTGTTTTCTGGAATTAATTGAATATGAGGGCAGGATTTGTCTAAAAAGGATTTTGTTTTATTACAAAAAATGTTTGGAAAGGGAATAATTTGTTGCTATTTTTAGAATTTCTAATTTCAAATATTTTATGAAGAAAAACTCCTGGCTATTTATCCTCACGGAATGATGATCGTAAAAGATGAGATGAGATGAGATTCTGAGAAGTGAAACCAGCCCTTGAGTATGTTGCGAGGCCAACCCTAATCCCCTCAGGTTCACGAGAGGCGGCTGAAGAGGTCGAAGATCAATGTCTTAGGTGGATTGTAGACACGTGATTTTATCGCCTTCTACAAAACGAGTTTAGGGTGAGACACGACGCAGCGTCTTGAAACAAAACATTATTTTTTCCTCACTTTTGTTTCTTCGACCAGTAGATTCTCAGATTTGATTCTTCACGTAGAAGAAAAAAGTTGGGAAAACGTTACTTTTGAACTCTGTGGCGAGGAAAATGGGGAGACGGTTTATTTTTTCTTTTGTTCCAAAAAAAATGGGCTGACTCGGGGATTTATTACCTTTTACTAAAAATTTTATTTAAAAATTGGGAATAAAAATTCAATTTTTCTTTTGGGAATTGCGCGAAATTACTTGACGAAACGTAAAATTTCGTTTATGCAACATTGTTTTTTTTTATGAAATTGTTTGACATTTTGTAATGGAGAATTCATAATCTGATAAGAAATTAATGGAAACTGTGAATTTTTTTTCAATTATTCCATGAAAATTTCATAGAACTCGGGAAGATTCAGATAAAATATTCTTGGAAGAAGAATTGGATAGTAAAATTATCTTGAATAAAAATTCAGTGTAATTTGATAGTCAATATTTATGTTTGAATCGAAAATTCAAGTCAATTGAAGAATTTTCGTCTCCTGCTGCTCAAAAATTCAGAATTTTTCAGTACACTGTTTAAAAAAATGTTTGAATTTTCCGAAAAAAGACCTTTCAGGGAAAATAGTTAATGGAGTTTCAAGTTTCTCTGAAAATTAAAGTAGTCCTAATTTTTTAGCGGTAGGAAGACCGAAATTCCACAATTAACATTAATTTTCAAGTGAAAATGAATATCCACTGCGAAATTCCCTTGAATAATTTTTAATTAATTCCAATAATTCTGCATAATTCATCCTCATCATTTCCCTCCATGCGTGAAGCCGCATAGTAAATAATGAAGACTATAAAATAAAAGATAATTAAAAAGCTCCACCGAGAAGTGAATGAAAGTATTTTTCCCACTCATTGCGCAATACCATGTCCCCAAAGCTCCGGCATTTCCGCTGATCAACACTGTTACGACGCGAGATTAGAGCAGCATCTGTGCATTAGGGAACATCGTAACACATTCATAAACCCAATTCGTCGACCCCTATCGCTCCTCCGATAGATCTGCATGCCTCTGAACCGATCGATAAACCCCTCTCGCAATTTGACTTGTCCATTTGTTTTATTTCTATTAATCGTTTGTCCTGCGTGTACCGCTGGAGGAGTACGTTGGGGCTAATAAAAAATACGGCAACAGCTGAACGGAAATATAGACTACTAAAACCGAGAGCCCATAAATCCATCGATTATCAACACTTGGTGGGCGAGTGGACGTAAAAATTGTTGAAATGGTGTATCACAAATTCCTGAGAGATGAAAATGCTGTCAAGGAAAAATTGTATCCCCTCGAAACGCTCTGAATAACTCCAAGTCGATGATAATCCTGGCCACTGATTGTGAGTGACTGTAACAGCGTCGATTACAATGCCGTGGAATGCGCTCAGATGCTGACATTTCGAAAGGCTTCTCTTATATGGGCATTAGCACTATTTCAATGGGCTTCAAAGCCGCGTTCACGCACTATCATTCGTTATAAATTCTCAAACTTGATATTTTCATTATTTTCCATCCCATAAAGCAAATATTCATGAGACATGAATATTCAATGTAAGCCATTGAGTGTAGTGAAGAAAAATGAATGTAGAATTCCCAAAAAAATTATTCATTATTGATAATCTCTAATGTGAATGGTAGCTCTGACGAGAGTGAAAAATTAATCCATCAAATTCTCTGCATTCAAAATTATTATTTAAGCTTTTGTCAAAAAGATGTGATCCGAATGAGTTACGAATACAAGAAACACGTGAGACTATTAATTTTTTGTGGATACTTAATTATATTCAAGGTTATCAGTTGTGCCATCGAAAATGGAGATGAATTTAATCGAGAATTTGGAAAAACATCTTTTTTTTAAAATTATTTTCAAGATCCAGACGAAATAGTTCACTCTGATTTTCTGATGGCATCAGTTCCGAAATTCAATGGTTCATAATTCTCAAAACAGGATTGTCCTTAAATTATCGTCACTGAATTCAAAAGAAAAGAAAAAAATACGAAATTTTACATTTCACTTTCCTTAATTTTAAATGAAAAGAAGATTTAGTACCAAATTACGTGGAGTATCCAATTAATTGAAAACTCGAGAATATATTTGCCTGAATTTTCATGAATATAAATTTATATAGCTCAATTTTATAACATTAATTTATAAAGCTTTATGACGGATTTCCTCAAAATTCTAGGAAAACAACAGCGCGATGAAAATTTCCAAGAAATGTACCGAAAACTTCAGCCCAAATTTTTTAACACTGCAATAAAACCTCCGTTTTACCTCGCAGTAAACCTCTCCCTAAACCGGCCCTTGCTAAATAGTATCACCTCCAAAACCTTGAATAATTATCACTGAATCCAAAAGAATAAATTTTCCAGATAAAAAAACCTCAAATTGAATAGCTCACACGAATGTGTGAAACCACTAACTGGTTTCTATCCTTCAAACGAGATATTATCATCCCATTGGATTTATTAAACCTGAACTCATCAAAATAAAACTTACAAACTAACCATTAAAACCACCGCTCAATGATTACGAAGGTCGACATATTCCAATAGTAAATGTCACCCATGTATGCTTACATAAAATCGCATGATGAAAGCCAAAAGGTGAATTAGAAGAATGCCTTCAGTCATTGCACAAGTCCAATTGCATCTACGAATTAGTAATAACGGGGAAAGGTCATCATTGTGGCAACATCTCGATTCACGTTTTACCATCGCAATTGTAATCAGAGACGGAAATGTTCGACTTTCACCGCAACATCTTCATCGCAAACGATCCCCACGACAGCTGTCTCATTAATCTCCCACATGATCGATTCCAGTCGCTTGTCAGAGGTCTGAAAACGACTGGAAAACAGCAACAGAACACGTATCGATAATTCTTATCGCTCAATCGAGTCTCAAAATGTGTTCTGCAGTTAACCTCAGCGATAAAAAACACATTCAGCATAACTACACGTGACAACCTAGCCTTTTACGATATCACATATTGACTTTGAGCAATCAACCGAACCTAACGCCATTTTTATGTCTGAATGTTGCAGGAACCTTTTCAATGCGTCGACTAATTCGTCGAAGTCCACTGAAGAGTTAAACCGGGGGAATTCTTCAGCACCGAGGTAACCATGGCGTCGATGGAGATACGACGAAGATTACTTTTTATCGCCCTGAGCATAGGACTGCTTGCGACGTCATCAGCAGCACCGATGGGAAAGGATTCGCGACCGCAGACGCGGAGGAAATCACTGGTGTCTTCAGTCAAGAATTCCGATGAGGTTGGCAACCCTGAGGATCTCGCCTGGCAAGCGGAGTTCCTGGTGGATCAAGGGGGCGTCAATCTTCTTCGGAAAATCACACCAAAGAGCATCTTCATTGCTCCGTCACTGCAGGCCCTGCCATCTTGTGCTGAAGGGTATCAACCCGATGCGATGAACCGCTGCATCAAGAACGTGAACATCAATCATGAAGCGCACCTCGACTTTCTTGTTCAAAGGTTGAACGCCATGTACGCGAATTTTGGGGGGAGCAAGTCTGAAGCAGCAGCTAGCTCGGGGTCGGTTCCTACGGGACCTCTGCAGCTGGATCTTCTGAACATTCCGGTTATCGTTGAGGCTGAGGATCAGGAGGAGGAGGAAGACGCTGCGGCGCCATCGACTTCCTTATTTTCTTCAGAGGAGGAAGATAACAGAAGGGGAGAAGAGAATCCTCCGATCGTAGTGGACGATAAGGATGAGGAGGATGAAAAAGAGTCTGATCAAAAGCCGTTTTTTCACGAGTCTCAAACTACCAAGGATGGTAGCGAGAATGAGGACAGCAATTCAGGAAAGTACGATGATGTTGTTCCATCGCTAGTTGATTTTATAGACGACACAAATTCAAGTTATTCAGAAGTAATTGATCATAAAGTTGATGCTGGCGACAGACTTCATAATCACACAATCTCTGAAGAAGAATCAAAATTAGATGATGTCAAGGGTGATGATTCTAGAGAGAAGACGCCTCGGAATGACTCATCGTTGGCTTCAACAGTTGTTCTTTTATTAACTCCAACGAAACTACCGGTTTCAAACGGAGATTTGATAGTTGCTCATAATAGCAGCACTGGTATGCTGAGTGTGCGTAGGGATAAGGAGAATGGAACTGAAACTGAGGAGATTATCACTGTTAATTTGCCAGAGCGCTTGGCAACTGCCTCGACCCCGATTCTGATTCTTTTCAATGGGTCAGTGTCTGATACTTCGGAGGTTCAGTCGTCGACTACTGAGGAAGCACAGACGGAGGAAACTGAGACGGAACTTCCTGGGGTGAATGAGGACTCAGAGGATGTTGAAGAATCAACGGAGAGTGACAACGAAATTCTCGCGCACAGTGAAGCTGGTATGATGGTGACGGTGCTGCCTCGTGTCCAGGCATCATCAACCCCTGTTGGCGATGACAAAGATACGACAGCGAGTAGAATATCAAGTACGATAACCATCAACGATGACTTTGTCCGAGAGACAATTGTCCTCGGTCTGAATCTCCATAACGACTCGAACACACCGAATACCTCGGAGCCTGAAGACCAGACATCATCGACATTTCTCGCAGATGAGAAGATCGTCACAGTCACCCCGGAAATGTCCTCGGAGGAGGAAACAACGTCTCTCCCTGAAGATACGTCATCCTTCACCGAAGTACCCGAGAATGAGGAAACGACTGCGGACAATTCCGATGACAGGAAGGAATCCACGACGTCGAGAGAAATTACAAAACAATCGGAGCTTCCGGCAACAACGACAATGTACAGCGACGTCTCCACGGACCAGAGGGAATCGTCCCCGGTAATAAAAGTCGAGGAACACTTCGATGAAAACATTACCGACAAGCCATCAACAAGACCTCCGTCGGCGAGTCAACGTCCGGAGGAGTCTGACAGCTCCGAAATCATGACCGCGTCTTCCTCCAACAACGCAGAAGCAATTTTCGCTCAACAGCCGTCCGAAAACACTCGTTACTCGTCACCAATTAAGCAGAACAGAAAGCCACTAGGCCCTCAGGCCCCTGACTTTCCAGATAGATCGGCTGTCAAATACGACACAGCAACAGCTTCAGAGAACACAGAAAACATCTACACAGAAATCAAGACAATTGATGATCAGTTGGAGCTGCAAAAGGTCCCGGAGGCCGGTAGCTTCGTCCCGGATCAACGGAAGGTGGATTCTGGCAGCCAAGCTAAGGACTTCGTCAGGTTTCCGACGTCCGATAAGATTCGAAATCGTCCCGGCTACGTCAGGTTTCCTTCGCAACAGGTCAACAGCATCCACACACCAGACGACTTCAAGGACAGACGTCATCATCGACCTTTCAACCAACGAGTCCCACTGGAGAACCTCTCCAGTCCTCAGAAGCAGGTGTACTGGCCAGACTGGCGGAACGAACATCAAGGCTCGATTCGCTCCAAACCTGATGTCAACGACGGGTCAAGGGATCGATCTCCGTTCTGGTTCTGGGCGAGAATGCCTCTCGTCAAGGACCCCAGTCTCCTCCGTTACGCGACGAACCCAGACACCCTAGATCGGTCAGACAACCGATCTCATGGACCGAGACGGATCAACTACTACAAAGAGATCTCCCCTCATGATGCCCCCAGAGCCTTCGCCAGAAGCACTATCGGAGGCTAATCTCTCAACTCATTGTGAGTTCAGGACTGGACTCTCGATTTCTCTTTTGAGAAACTGCACCCGAAGATTCTTCCTCAAGTGATTGAGATAATCATTTTAGGGACTAGAGTCGATATGGTTGACCAAGAAAATAGGTTTTACACGATGGAAAACCATGCGCTGGTGTAGCACAAAAACTTGTTCATCCGACGCACATTCAAAGACTGATTTATCAGAAGATTTTGATTAAGAATATTATTGAAAAATGTATGTTTAGGACGGAAATCGTGGAAGTGTTGGGACGTTTTAAGAGTCCAGCGCTCAGAGTCATTTCGCACGGAAACTTCAAGACTTGGAGAGGTTCTTAGTGTCGATGGATGGTGTATGGATTTATTTATTCATGATGAACGTTAGAGTTTTACGCGCTGTCTTGGGGGCTTTGGCGGACTCATATGTGTTTTTTTTTCTGATAGTAAAAAAAATCATTATGTGGGAAAATGAAAGGTTCTGGCGGGAAAAATTTATGTGTTTAGATGCGCATTTTGTTTTAGAGTGTAAATGCACGTACTAAATGTGTAAATGTCGGTGTCAGCTTGTAGAAGTCGATCTCATCTCTTTCTGGGCTCGAGGAAGATGCTTTTTTTTTAAATGAAAATAAGAACATCGGTGTGGATTGAATGTATCGGTGTTTAGAAAACGAGATATTACTGATGAATTGTTCGTTTGAATACTTTGACATTGCGGCCAGTAACAGTTACCGTCTTAAATCTCATTAACGCACGCGAGATGCACTCATTCCCCAAATAATTGGCCCTTCCCGAGAGAATACATAAAGTAAAAAAAATGATAATCAGCGAAAATTTACGTAAAAGTATCTCAGTATGTCGATATACATATCCGAAATTGTATGTCATTAATGTTTGTGTACATAATTGATTGTTTAATTATCTGTAGAGTTAACTGTATATACCGCGTATTACCGAAGTCGTAGATGATCGAATGCCGTGGTTAAACGATCGAAATAGAATAATGAACTATTATTAATGAATTGTAACTGTGTCGAGTTATTGTATTATTTATATGTAAACTTAAAAATTGTGAAAAATGAACGAATTATATATATTATTGATGTAATTGTGTGTAGAATTGTTACGCACTTTTGGTGGTACGAAGTGAAGAAAAAAGAAATATTCATCAGTCAAATTTACCGATGATGTTGAGTCTGAACCGGTGGTCCGTTCTGCTTTTGCTTTTCATTCATCCAGATGTTAAATCCTGAACGAGTTTGAAAATTTCCTTCAATGTCTACGTGTACAAATAAATTTTAACTGCACTAATAATTCTGTTGCGAGTACTTTAACCCTCATCTTTATTTCCTTCCACTAACTATTGAATCGTCTGTTTTGAAGGTAAAAACAAATCGCAATCAGTTTGCTTTATTGGTCAGACATGAAATAATCGTTGCATTCTTTCCTGAGAGAATGAATGAGACTGCTTGGCAATATCTTTATGAATTTTTAACAAATAACTATGGAGTCCATGGAAATAAATGCGGAAACGGCGGTATCGTATTTCCTGAAAGGAAGAGATTGTTTCGTAATACAAAGTTATTATTTATATTTGAGAGTTAATTGAATAAAATATCAGAATTCTTTCAGATGCTTCTACTTTAGTGGATATTTTGTTAACAATCATGTTTTGAGACCCTTCAAATCTTGGCTATAATAGACTTCTGGGTTCATCACATGTAAATAACAGAAAGGCAGTGGAGAACAAACAAGTTCTGTAATTAATTCAGAATCGAATTGGTGAATGACAACAAATAACTCCAGATGCATCGAGAAAACCTGTTCAACAATGATCTTATTGATTTCGCAATGTTATTTATCTCCAAAAACCACTTCTTAATAGTGTTAACTTCTAGTTAACTTCTTCGTTAAATATCAAAATTCTTTAAAATGTCTGCACATTAATAAACAATTCTCTAACAATTACGTTTCAAGAACTTTGAATCTGCTAGCTAAAATAAACTTCTGAGTAGATTCCTCTCACATCTCCACATCAAATTTCAATGTAACATGATCGAGTTCTGTCATTAATTCTCTAGCAAAATCGTAAAGGTTAACAAATAACTCCCGATACATTGAAGACAAGCCATTAAACAACAATCTTCTGTATTTGTACAAAATGTTATGCACATCCAAAACCCCCTTCTCTTCTCGAATAATAAACTTCCATTAAACGTCTGTACATTAATAAACACTTCACCAACAGTCACGTTTTGAGACCCTTGAATCCCCTAGCCAAGATAAACTTCTCAGTGGATTCGTCTCTCGTCGCAGCAGGCCTCACAATCTTAACACTCTTGTAAAACCTCTCTGTATCCCTTTCAAATTGAGGAGCCCTGCCCCCATCCCACATCTTCACAATGAACGTTCCTTCAGTATTCGAAACTTGAACGGAGAACTTGAGCGCAGAGTAGGCAAGTTCCGTGATTAGCTCATGGTCAATGTCCCTGACACCAGATGCGTTGGGAGCCATGTCAGACAGGACAACATCAACCTTGTCACCATTCAGAGCTTCTAGGAGTAGTTTCTGTGCTTTCGCACTCGTGAAGTCCAGGTTACCGAGGATCGTTGCACCCTCCACAGCGTGAATCGGGTTTCTGTCGATAGCGTAGACCTTTCCAATCCTCTTGTTTTCGTCCTTGCCATGGGAATTGGTCGCCTTCACTGCCACCTGGGTCCAACTTCCGGGCGCAGCTCCACAGTCGACGACTGTCAATCCCGGGGTGAGGACGTTGAACCTCTGGTTGATCTCTAGGAGCTTGAAGGCACTTCTGCAGCGATAATTCTCCTGACGTGCCTTCTCCACGTAGGGATCTTGAATCTGTCGGACCAGCCATCTCTGCGAGCTGGGGTTCTTGGTTTTCAGGTTGTCAGGCATTTTCTTGAGGTGGCGAGCGCTGGTGTGCAGGTGGCGAGAAGTGATGACGTGATTGGAGATTTCCGTTGGCGAATCTTTGAATACGAATGGGAGTAATTAATAGTGGGAGAGATTTTCTAACGTTTGGAATATCTGCTGATGGTGATATTTATGGTATTTATGTAATATCATAAATATAAATAATCTGCTATTTATATTTATGATATTGAATGGTGAAGTTCATGTTTCAAAATTAAGAAAAAACTGTTGGATTGAACAGGAAACTGTAATTAATTAAATTGCGTTCAAATGAATTGAATGAATTTTGAGAACAAGTAGTATTTCTATTCAATGTATGGAGGTTTGAGCAACTGGTAAGCAGCTGTTCATTGAGGAATTTTCGAGTAAAAATTCATCAATGCAATGATTTCTAGTTTTCTGTATTGGATTATGTGTAGGAATACTCAATAAAAACACATTAGTTTTATTCTTCAAAGTAAAACTCTTTAATGATCGCACGCAGAAGGTATATCTTTCTCCAACGAAGTCTCTAGGACGACTAACTAAAAGTCATGAGAGTTTTCACTCTCTGGACCCATTTGACAAAAGGCCCTTGTTTCAATTTTCTTCAGCCTCTCCTTTGTGACTCACCATGAGGACTGTTTTTCTTCACGTCTCTATTTTCTAAGAAAAGCCATAAATGTCACCCTGAGTGTTTGGGTGGAAATGAGAAAATGTTTAACTAAACTAAGAAATTAATTTTTGTATTCAGGCATGAATTCCAACATTCTGAATGATAATTTATTCCGTTTGGTGCATAATTTTTTTAAAATCAAACTCAACACATATTTACATATTCAGGACATTGATTCATAATTCAGGAAGAATGAGGACCGAACGTCGTACGTAATATTTCAAAAAAGAGGAAAAGCAATTGAAACTGAAATCGAAAAGAAAATTGCCATTATTCAATCAAATCGGACTGGATTCAATTAAATGAATTGAGTCAACGCGAAATACTTTTTGTAATTTATTTGAAAATTATTCGTAGTACGATTATATCCCCTATTCAAAGGGGCTAATGTTGTGAAGATTGAAAAATGCAAATGACATTGAAATTAAAAGAAAAAATGCACTGAATTCAATCGAGATGAACTGAATTGAATGAATCGACCTAAAAATCATTTAAGAACCAAAATTTTATTCAAATTCAAGTTCTTAAACGATTTTTTGTTGGATTATCTCAATTATTTAAGGAGATAACATTTAAAAAATCAGAAATTGACATTTAGACATGAAACAACGAACAACTGAAATAGAAATTAAAGAGCGAATAGCAATCTGTTTAAGTAGAATTCAATCTCAACTTGAACAGAATTGAATTAAATAAATTGTGAAAACGAGAAGTAGTATTTCTGTTTAATGTGCTTGTGGATTATTTTTGGGGTTGATTATCTCTGTTATTTGAGGGAGTTCCTTGAAAGAACTGGGATTTCACCTTTAGTAATGCTGAGACAATGAGAAATATTGATATTTCTCTGGCAGCTGGGGGTCTGGCCCGTCAGATTGCCAGGCATTTTCCTGAGAATGGTATTACACGTGGAAATGCTACGAGGGATGATGACATGTTTGCAGACCTCCATTGTCGAACCTTTCAATACAAATAGAACTAGTTAATCATCAACAAAAAATTTTTAACGATTAAAATACGACGTATCTTTGCTAAATGTGTTTGTAAATTATTCTGAGGTTAATTATCTACAGCTTTCAATTTATATAAATTGGAGCAGTGGAAGTTTACCTTTGATGATGAGAAAATAGAGAATACTGATGTTTGTGGGGAGTCTTCAACTCCTTGAAGTTGCAATTTAGAAATTTGTCATTTTTGAGTCTAATTTCGGAGTATCACCTGCATGAGGGGTTTAAATGCCTCAGCGTGGTCGCAACCATCTTGGAATTATCCACCCGGTGTTTACCAGCTGATGGTAGAGCCGGAGAAGGCATTGTTGATATTTGCTCCGAAATTCAAAGAAGAATAACGGATCAATTAACTTTATCATTAATTTTTTCTCTTGACACTTTCAATGATCCATGAACTTTCCTATATTTTCATTTTTATTTTTTGATTCAGTCGTGGCGCAAAAGTTATTTATAAAAAAACATGCAAAACAAAGTTTATAAACAAAAAAACGAGAAAAAATCCCATAGGGAAAGAGTTCAAAACTCTCCCTGTATTCTTTACGTAACGCTAAATAGATAAATGACAAAATTTCATAACTCATTAATCAAAATTTCACCTCAAGTCCTCAACCTTCGAACAATTCCCACAATAATCGCGTGAATTCTCTACTAAGACTGCCATCCATTTGAAAAGTTCCACTAGAAATGGTGGAACCCACCTGCGCACCCCCCATTCGGCTCGCGTGACGTTTCCGCAATTATCTAGACTTCACCAAAAAGATGAAAAAAAAAGCGCGATTATCTACACTTGAACAAAAAGATGACTGCGGAGAATAAAAACTTCGTATTAACCATTGAATGTACAACATTAACCCGAAGAAAATGAAAAACAATGAATTATTTTTTATTTTCTTTAACATTATAATTCATTTGATCAATAATGACCAATTATTCGGTAGTAATACCTCTCGAGCTTCAAAATTATCGGGTATTCCCCAATAGCTTCGTTGCAAACAAATGAGGTGTCAAGTTTTGCAGGAGAGCTTGAGGGAATTTGTCGAATTATTTTTCACAATCGGATTTCGGCCAATCAATTAGGGAAGATTTGAATAAATTCTGTTAATTCAATAACCCGATTTCCGTAGACTGTCAAATACAAGATTCGATCTGAAATGAGTCAAAAAAATGAAGAGCTACTGCGAAATATTCATCATTTAACCATATAATTTATTTATTTAAGGCTTTAGGCATCCGCATTTTTTTACGTGAATAGTTGAAAAAAAAACAATAAAGATTAATTCAATTTAATTCAATGAAAATTTAATTTTAATTCTAACTTAATTTTTTTTCTCATTTTTTTACGTGAATATTTAAAAAACTGAAGAGCTACTGGGAAATATTCAAAATCTAGGAGCAATTATCCAAAATAAAACTGTCAGGTAGCAAATAATGCGCTCTGATTGGTCGAAATCCGATTAGAAAAAATAACTTTTATAATTTTTGTTATTTTCAATTTCCATTGTCTTTTCTTTTGAACATTCCGCTTGCTCTCCGCAGTTATCTCCGTCGATTCCAGATAATTATAAAATGTAAAACTAGCTGTCTCCAGATAAAGTCCACCCAATGGTCTGTCAGCTGATTAAATGGACGCCGTTATGTTGGGTTTATATATTAGTTACCACTCTCCTCACCCCAGTGATCATCGTGCACGAGAAATGGTGACGAATCATATCAATGAAAAAAAAAAATCCCGATAACACAGCATCTGACACAGCCGGTGTATTTGTAATTCGTGGGATAGGTTCAGTCCATCTCCATGGTTTTGTGTTGAATCGTTTATTGTAATTGTTTATGGAGTGAAAGATGAATCTCAATGCGGGCAATCCGCACGCCAACGGCTTGATTTACGCCGGTTTCAATCAGGACCAAGGTACCGTATTCATCTCAATTTTATTCGGCGATTTATTGAGCTTTTTCGTTATTCAAAATTGCCCCGAAATGCAATGGGAAAATTATTAGTGGGTTTGTGGCTGCATTTTTTATTGCATGAGTTCCTCGACTATTGATTTCGTTTATGCAATTTGACGTGAAGTTATTTTTTGTTAGAATAATTCTGGGAGAATCGATCTCCTCGGGGTAAATATCAGGATCTTGCTGCTTGATTTCGGGATCAGCAGCTGCGGGCTACTCCCTAGCTCTAGCACTTGGTTTCTTATCTTCAGGATGAATAAACAATCATCTTGAAGTGGTTCTTGTGCAGTTTAATGTATAAGCCAGGCGATAATTGATTTGGTTTGTGTGATTTGACTTGAGGTTAATTGTCACTGAGAAAATACTACGAGAATTCATTCTCTCCTGCGGAATATTGGAGTTGCATTATTTGATATTTCATTCATGGAATCGTAGAAGCGATGGAGGGCAAAACATCCAATAGGAAAAATGTCAATTTTTTGTTGATGGGAATAATTTTGATAGTTGTCTTTCGCATTTTTCTTTCAAATAGATACTTTTGTCTAGATAAAATAATTAATAGCTCATTGTTTTCATTTTTAAATAGCACCTCTTTGAGAAGAAGTTTATTAAAATAAATAAATTTTATTTCAATTAAATAAACTTGATTCTCATCATTCATTAAATACAAACAAATATCAACAAATAATGATTCATTATTTGGATAAAATAAATCGTTCATTTCATTCAAATAAATTATTCCTGTTCTATAATCAAAAAATATTGTTGAAATACTTTGAAAAAATTTCGAGTAAAACGTTTTATTTGATTCAAATCCATTATGTCTCTGGATATAAAAAAAGCTATTTATTAATCCCCTAAGACACAAGATTTCCTCAGAGCAAAACATAATAAAACAATTATTTTCTGCAGATCTACAGTCAAGTTTGCAACTAAAAATGGAAATACATTTTGTCTTTTACTTCAGCAAGTTATTTCCCAATTTCAATTGAAATTGAAGATAATTTTATTACAATAGAAACAATTACTATTTTACGCCTGATAATTTTACCAACTATTGAATAGTACGGACTCTTAATTTCAATTTAATTAGTAATAATTATGTAAATTTGTTTTATTCAGTAATTTAGTTTATTTCGTTTTATACAATCTAAGTTGAGCTAAATTAATATATTTATTTTTGACACTCTATATTCTTCATTTTGAGGAGGATTAATTTTACCCCATTGTTTATCTTTTTCATTTTATCTATTTATTTATTGTTTATCTATTATTTATATTTTTTATCTTGAGAAAGATTCACTTTGTCCCATTGCTTCTCATCGATAATTCAGATTTTTGGGTAATAATCACTGGTTTCATGGGATTATTCCAGGATGTTTTGCTTGTGGAATGGAGAATGGCTACAGAGTCTACAACTGTGATCCCCTTAAGGAGAAGGAGAGGCATGACTTTAATGACGGAGGGCTTGGATATGTAGAGATGCTTTTTAGGTGTAATTATCTGGCACTTGTCGGAGGGGGTAGTAAACCCATTCATCCAACGAATAGAGGTAAAGGAGAAGAATAATAAAAACAGAAGAATTCAACTCAACTTGACGATAGATCAATTCGTCGTGGAAAAAATGAGTCTCAATGAAGCAATCGCTGTTGAGCAGAAAATAAAATTCAGGGAAAATTGGAGGACTTTTTTATTGATGTCTTTGGTATTCGTTTTTTTGAAGCGGTGATTTATTTAATTTGCAGTTGTGATATGGGACGACCTGAAGAAACTACCAGCAATTACACTAGAGTTCAATGCCCCAGTGAAAGGAGTTAAGTTGAGGAGAGATAGGATAGTTGCTATTTTAGAGGGTGTCATCAAGGTCTACACATTCACCCAAAATCCAGTACAACTCCACGTATTCGAGACCAATCCAAACCCCCGAGGACTGTGTGTACTATGTCCAAACAGTGATAACTCACTCCTTGCTTTTCCTGGTAGAAAAAATGGACATGTTCAAAGTAAGAAGTTTTCGATAATTGAAGACTTGAATTTGGGATAGCTTCATGATGATTTTTCTGTGGAAACCTTTGCGTTTGAAGGAGATCGAAATCTATATGAGGAACTTTTCGTGGAGGTTTCAATCTGTTTCACGAAAAAGTTCCTGATGCAATTTTCATATCTCTTTCAGATTTCGAATTATTTTTATTAAAGTCATTTTTGAGGGAATTTAAAACAATTTGGGATTGAAAATTCAGAATTTGATGAAGAAATCAATGGGACGGGTCAATTTCTGTGGAATTATTCTATGAAAATTAGTAAATATCAGGAAAGTTTAGGTGAAATTATTGTTTAATGTCCAATTGTTAGAAATTTTAGGAAATTTCAGGATTTTTTCTCTCGAAATTGAACTTTTTTAACATTTTGTGATTTTCACTCTTGAAATTTCAATAAAAAAATTTTGAACTTTTTATTATTGACCACTTAGTTGATTATTTCAATCAATGAAATTTCGACTGCAACAAAAAGCAATGAACATAATGACAATTGAGGCAACTATTGTTCTAAGTTTGCAATCAATTGAATATCCAATTGAATTTATTTTTACATTTTTACAAAGTGGTTGAAGATGAAGAACTTAAATCCCATGAAACCTCTGCTATCAAATTAAATTTAAATCCAAAAAATTGAAAATAAAAATCCATCAATCCCAAAAAGTTCAAGTGAAGTGTTTGATATCATTCGGAGTCATGTTGCAACACACATTTGTTTACCATTGCAGTAATTGATTTGGCAAATACCGAGAAGCAACCGTTGAACATCGAAGCCCATGAAACGCCACTGTCATGCATTGCACTGAATCTACAAGGGACTAGACTAGCTACGGCTTCGGAAAAAGGAACTCTGATCCGTGTTTTCGATACGCAGAGTGGGAATATGATTAACGAATTGCGGCGTGGGGCCAATCACGCCAATATTTACTGGTAAATCATTATTTTCATCACCAAAAACGCCTAAAAGGCCGATTTTTGCCCTGAGAATTACGTTTCGGGGATTGAACATGAAACATACTATACTTTCAAAGCAACTTATTCTCTGCTTACTACAATTACGAATTAGTTTTTTGAAATTCGACTTCTACACAGCTAATTTCTTTATTTTTTTTTTTTTCAAATAAAAAATTGAAATCTCAATCTGAAATCTCAATCCAATCGCTCGTGACTTTAAAAACTCGAAGTTGTTTTCCCTTAATTAACGATTTAATTAGTTATTTTCGTGATATTTTATTGCTGCCGAGTTGACCAAAAGAATGGCCCAAAGGAATTTTAATAACTTGAAAACATATCGAGAATGTCAATTTCATTGCTCTCTCCTTTCCAGCATAAATTTTAATCACGACTCGACATGGCTGTGTGTTGCAAGCGACCACGGAACAGTACACGTATTTGCGGTTGAGGATCAAAAATTGAATCGTCAATCGAGTCTTGCCTCCGCCACGTTTCTGCCAAAGTACTTCAGCTCGAGCTGGAGTTTCTGCAAGTTTCAAGTGCCAGGTGGTTCCCAGTGCATGTGCGCCTTTGGCACGAATAATAGTATTATAGGTATGCATTTGAATTCGATCTTTGATCTATTTTCGTTATGAGAGAATGCACGCTCTGATGAGTTGTTGTATTCTCTGTGCTATTTGTTGCAATTTCATTGGGGAGAATTACATTACTGTATTATTTAGTCATTTTATTGTTCATTTATCGTTGTTATATTATGTAACTGACAGATCATGAAGCCTTGGGCTTCATGATCATGAAAATTGAATAATTTAAATTCATGTCATGGGATTAATTTTCAAAAATGAAAACGACAATGAAAACTAAATTATTTTTTCTCTCTTGCAGTAATTTGTGCAGATGGTAGCTACTACAAATTTGTGTTCAACAACAAAGGCGAGTGCACACGAGATTTCTACGCGCAATTTCTTGACATGACAGACGAAAAAATGTGACCCGACTCAGAGTCCCAGAGCGACTGAATAAAGAACAATATTCAATTATTTGAAAATAATTTCACTTTGGAGTTTCTGTGCAGTGTGTCAATTACGAGAAATGAACATTTGTTTGATGAGTGCTGAGGACAGTTCGAAGGAGACACTGAAGAGTCAAGGACACAGTGAACATTGAACAGAGTGTGGTTCTCGTATGTATTATTCGTTGAAATAATATCTTGTGTGCAGTTTAATGACAGAGTGTAAACTAGTTGGAAACTAGATTCGTTGAGGGAGGAATAAGAGGCCCTATTGCCAAATATTCTGAGATTGTGCTGGTAACAGGAGTTGTAACGATGCCCATTAATTAGGCATAGATTATTAGGGGTACGAGCCCCACCCAAAGTTTATAAACAAATAGTCATCGATATTACCAAATTGATTTTCACCAGGCTGAAGGAACATAATCAAGTGCATAGTAATTAATTTAATTTGATCCAGTGAATTTTATCAGAATGTCTCGTAGTCTATTCTCAAGAGGACGCGTCAGTCATATCTAATTGAATTTTCATTCTTCAGTCGCAAATAAGTCGATTGAAACTGTAGATTAAATTTTTAGTTGACCAATGAGTTTATGCCGAGAAATTGACAACAAAATTCTGTTCGAAACGAACTTACGTGTCCCCTCGAGCCCCAAAACTCACCGGTGAGTCAGACGATGAAATAGAAAAAAACTTAGACTTGTTCAAGCTTTATTAATAGTTTAATCGCACACTCATAATACACATACATAGGAGGAAGTGACTACTCTATGAATGCGGTAATTGCCATGAGTTTGGTGAGACATAATCACTTCTAACCGATATAAAAGAAACATTGCAGTGTTTCGAATGAAAAAATTTCACCTAAACCTAATCCACTGAATTAACGAAGAAACTATCAGCCATCTTGCCTAGAATTTTCAATATAAAAAACGAATATATTAAAAAAATAAACGATTAAAATCTATAAAACGTTACGAATCATTGTACCATAACTTGTGTGTTACAAATTCATTTTATCACGTGAAAATAACCTTAAACCTACGTGTTTTTTAATCATACAAAATACCGAAAGAACACATTCTCCCTTCATTACTTAAAAATAATGAATAAATTCTTCATCTTAGTGTAAATGATTGTTCAGTAGCTAATCCGCAATGACACATTTCTTTTACAAATATTATCGTTCCTCTAAATATGCCTACGTGCGTGATTACAAGTCTTGCTCTGCGTATCAAAGATTTATTATTGTTTCCAAAAAAAGTGCGCTGACAAAAAAAAACATCGTCTCCTCATTCATTTATCCTCCAATCTGCGCACATTTTTCACTCCCATCCCTTGCTCGATGAAAATAACTCACTGACGTCTTGATGATCCTCTGGTGCTGGTGGTCATCGGTCTGTGATGAAGAAAGCAAAATTCTTGCTTGTTTGAGAGAAAAATGAACCTGCGAGGCTGTCTCCCAGGCGAATGGTCAAGAGGCATTTGTGTAATCGATGATTTTGAGCTATTGATGACACGAATAAATTTAAACTTCGTAGGGAATCTGTGTCCCCTGGTGCAGACGAACTTTCCCATTGCTCGTACCTTCACCAGGAGTTAGTGCGTATTTTTGCTTCTTTATGGGATTTATTTCGTGAATTAAACCAGTCTTCTTGGACTCCAGACTCTTGTAGGTGCTGTACACTGCGAACCAGATGTACAGGCTTATGCTGACCATGAATAAGACGAGGATACCTGCAACCAGCCCTTGAAATCATCCCAATATTTCTATAGAATCTTCCTCAGAGGAAGTCGATTTTTCACATCTTTTTCAGAATGAGATTATCTCTGTAACGAGGAATTCTAGAGAAAATTTTCAGAAAAGATTTTTTGTTGGAAATTTCATCAGCTACAAAAAACGTCTTGCGACTTTTTCCATGAAACCCTCGCGTTTTCGAGATAAATCCACAATTAACAAAATAAAAAAAATCGACTTGGAGAAGAGTGGAGAAAACCTGATTGTCTTCAATCGTCAATATCTCCCGACCCAGCGATTCGATTCGGTCAAGTCATGTCTCATTTCAAAGCTTAAAAAAGCGCCTTGAAAACTAAAAAAAATCGAGAAATCCTACTCTGCGGTTATCGAGCTATTGACGATTAAAACGATCTGTTGATCGACGAATCCAAGATATTCCACATACGGTCAGTAATGTCGGCCTTGCCCCCGAGGATGGCGATGAACGGGCAGTCTTGTTGGACGAGAAATAGCGACAAAATGAGTGTGATGATAGTCGTCATCATGATCATCAGCCACGGGGCCATGAAATGTCGGTTATTCTGTCGAATAAATCCGTCAAAACCCAATTATCATGAATTCCTCTTTAAAAAAATTCACCAATCCCTCTACTAACTAATTCCCTCAATTTCACTCACGATTAAAACTCCATAGAGCAGTAAAACGGTGGAAATAAAGTGCAGCACCGAGATGACAAGTCCACAATACATGGAGTAAACTTTCTCTGGAAATTAATGACCATTGAATTTTCTCAGACAGATGAAAGAAAAAACAATTAAACTGGAATACCAGTGGCATTGTGATGAGCAATGTCCATTCGTTTCGTGTTGAGGTGCATCGAGGATATTTCCTCCAAGGCCTCACGCTCGAGTGCATCCTCAGAATCCCTGGCTACCATTTCCTGAATGTCCATCGCGTGAGCCAGAGCGAGAAGGAAGAATGTCATCACAATGCCGGATATGAACTGCGATAAATTACCGAGAAAATAACAAAAAAATTTCATTCATCACGAGGACAATCAATCAATTAACTAATTAATTAATTGAAAAATATTCTAGACTCACTAGTTGCAAAATTGCGATCAGGATTGTCCCCTGCTTCAGGCTGAAGCAGTGCAGAAAGTTCTTCAACAGTCCCACCTTCATTTTAGTATTATTTTCTCACTTAAAAAAATATCTACTTCACTGAGAGTGGATTTCACCCCTCGAACGGCTCTGGAAGGACTGATAAAGGACTGGTGAAGGCTTGTGAAAAATTATCTCTGGGTATTCTCACAGAAAATAAATTGCAGTAATTTTTTTACACAAATTATTGCACTTTCTGCTGCGTTGATGCTCCTACGGGCCCCCGTTGGCAATCGATAACTATGCTATCGTCTAGTTTCAGTTGGATGAACCCAAAAATACTCAGAGAATAATAGAATAAATGACTGTGGATTTACAGTGACTTCAACTCATGAAACCAAACACGAGAGTCGATGTAATGAGGTGCCCGATCGACAGTGAAACACCAAGTGATGAATTTGTTCTACTGTACGTGCGTTAAAATAAGTTCGAGCGATGCACTGTACCTTTCACAGAGTGTACATCCCCTTGGGAACATCCCCAGAAGAGGCTCAGGCTGATCATGCGCGGTGATTACCTCGGCACCACTGGTGTTCACTTTGTAAATTAGTATTTGAAGTATTTTTAGATTGTCTTCGGCGATTTACAGCATTGTTCTTTTATCATTGATTTTTCGAGTTTCTTGGTTTAATTATAATAAATATTGTATAAATTAGGAATAGGTTGAGCTCTCCAATGGATTTCTACTCTTATGAGACCATTTTTGCAATAATTTTATTGAATTGAATTGACCGGCAGGGTAGGAAGGAATGAAAGAATTTAGTGGGGGAAGCAGTCGATTCAAATCGGTTGAAGAAGTTGGTTCGATCATTATGTGTCATATTGGAAGTAGTCATAGAACACAATCCCTCGGAATATGATAGCCCATTGGGATGTTGACGAGAATTTCTTGGAGCGAGATTTCTACGCGCGATTTCTCGACATGTCAGACGAAACAATGTGACGCGACGCAAAGTCCCGGAGCGATTGAATAGACAACAATATTGAATTATCTGAAAATAACATCACTTTGGAGTTTCTGTGCAGTGTGTCAATTACGAGAAATGATCATTTGATTAATGAGTGTTGAGGACAGTTCGAAGGAGACACTGAAGAGTCAAGGACACAGTGAACATTGAACAGAGTGTGGATCTCGTATGTATTATTCGGTGAAATAATATCTTGTGTGCAGTTTAATGACAGAGTGTAAACTAGTTGGAAACTAGATTCGTTGAGGGAGGAATAAGAGGTCCTATTGCCAAATATTCTGAGATTGCGCTGGTAACAGGAGTTGTAACGATGCCCATTAATTAGGCATAGATTATTAGGGGTACGAGCCCCACCCACAGTTTATAAACAAATAGTCATCGATATTACCAAATTGATTTTCACCAGGCTGAAGGAACATAATCAAGTGCATAGTAATTAATTTAATTTGATCCGGTGAATTTTATCAGAATGTCTCGTAGTCTACTCTCAAGAGGACACGTCAGTCATATATAATTGAATTTTCATTCTTCAGTCGCAAATAAATCGATTGAAACTGTAGATTAAATTTTTAGTTGACAAATGAGTTTGTGCCGAGAAATTGACAACAAAATTCTGTTTGAAATGAACTTACGTGTCCCCTCGAGCCCCAAAACTCACCTCTGGGACAGACGATGAAATAGAAAAAAACTTAGACTCGTTCAAGCTTTATTAACAGTTTAATCGCACACTCATAATACACATACATAGGAGGAAGTCACTGCTCTATGAATGCGGTAATTTCCAAGAGTTCGGTGAGACCTAATCACTTCTAATCGATAAAAATAAACATCGCAATGTTTCGAGTGAAAAAAATTCACCTAAACCTAGTCCACTGAATTAGCGAAGAAACTATCAGTCAACTCGCCTAGAATTTTCGATATAAAAACAAATGTAACGAAAAAATAAACGATTAACATCCATAAAACGATATGCGTCATTGTACCATAACTCGTCTGTTACAAAATTCATTTTATCAAGAATCTTAAACAGAAAGCGTTTGTTCGATTATGATGCGTCATATTTCGAGTAGTCATAGAAACGCAATCCCCCTGACTTCGATACTCCATTGAGACGTTAACGAGACTCGTTGCTCTGTCGAGAGAACAAAAACCCCGATAAAAACGTTCAAGTAAAACAATTGATGCAGAAGCCGACGTAAAACCAATTTGCAGTGATGGAGCGCAGGGAGCAAAGGGTTGAAATGGGGGTGGGTTCCTTTCACAATCCACCGCGTGCACAGTACAGCGAGGAGACGCGGAACCTCATAAAAAGTTTGTGAAATATTGGATGTTAACCTCTGTGGAATATCGGAGGAAAATTGATTGAGTTATTCGATCTGAATTTTCAGTGCTGATGGAGGAGTCCAAATTATCGATGATGCAGAGGAAGTCGATCCAGAGTGCTGTCGACAGGGGCGAGCCCCTTCCAACACCCACAACTATTGCCTCCAAGGATAACGGAAAACAGGTATTCATGGAGTTTTACCCAATTCATTGAATTTAAATTATCGGTTAATGATTTTTTCTTCAGATTACTTATCCCTGTTATTGGAAGAAGAGGTCGCAGGAGGCTATTGTCAACAGTGGAGCGTACGAACGAGAGCAATACCGGAGAACTACTCCTTTATGTAATCACAGTAATTTTATATTTTTTAATTTCCAGGGAAATTATTGGGAAGAGAGGAATTTCAAAATTTCATGCAGATTATTTTGCAGATGTCTCTAATAGTATTGAGTTTAGAATTTTTTTCAGGCCTCAATAGTTCAAAATATCAAGATACAGTTGCCTAACACTTGTTAATAGTGTATTATTTATCGAAAAAAAAATAGTGTTTAGTATTATTCAGTCAAGATTCATGGAATATTCACATAATATTAATTTCGTAGGGAAATTCTTAAAAAGAAAATAATTTCAAAATTTCATACAGATTATTTTGCAGATGTCTCTAATAGTATTGAGTTTAGGATTTTTTTCGGACGTCAATAGTTCAAATTATCAAGACACAGTTGCCTAACACTTGTTAATAGTGTATTATTTATCGAAAAAAAAATAGTGTTTAGTATTATTCAGTCAAGATTCATGGAATATTCACATAATATTAATTTCGTAGGGAAATTCTTAAAAAGAAAATAATTTCAAAATTTCATACAGATTATTTTGCAGATGTCTCTAATAGTATTGAGTTTAGGATTTTTTTCGGACGTCAATAGTTCAAATTATCAAGACACAGTTGCCTAACACTTGTTAATAGTGTATTATTTATCGAAAAAAAAATAGTGTTTAGTATTATTCAGTCAAGATTCATGGAATATTCACATAATATTAATTTCGTAGGGAAATTCTTAAAAAGAAAATAATTTCAAAATTTCATACAGATTATTTTGCAGATGTCTCTAATAGTATTGAGTTTAGGATTTTTTTCGGACGTCAATAGTTCAAATTATCAAGACACAGTTGCCTAACACTTGTTAATAGTGTATTATTTATCGAAAAAAAAATAGTGTTTAGTATTATTCAGTCAAGATTCATGGAATATTCACATAATATTAATTTCGTAGGGAAATTCTTAAAAAGAAAATAATTTCAAAATTTCATACAGATAATTTAGCAGAAGTCTCTAATAGTATTGAGTTTAGGATTTTTTTCGGACGTCAATAGTTCAAATTATCAAGACACAGTTGCCTAACACTTGTTAATAGTGTATTATTTATCGAAAAAAAAATAGTGTTTAGTATTATTCAGTCAAGATTCATGGAATATTCACATAATATTAATTTCGTAGGGAAATTCTTAAAAAGAAAATAATTTCAAAATTTCATACAGATAATTTTGCAGATATCTCTAATAGTATTGAGTTTAGGATTTTTTTCGGACGTCAATAGTTCAAAATATCAAGACACAGTTGTCTAACACTCATTAATATTTTATTATTTATCGAAATAAAAAAAAATTGTTTAGTATTATTCAGTCAAGATTCATGGAATATTCACATAAGATTAATTTCGTAGGGAAATTATGAAAAAGAAAATTATTTAAAAATTCGTACTGATAATTTGGCATTTTTTTACTTCAACAGTTCAAAATATCAAGTTGTTAATATTAAATTACGTATCAAAATAAAAAAAGGTGTTAAGTATTTCTCCGTTGAAATTAATATCCAGTAGTAAAAAAAATTCATGCAAAGTCTCAGACATCTGGGAATTCTATTGGACTCATCTTGTTGTCATAATCTAGTGAATAAAGATAAGCAGAAGAGACACCTGGCCTGCATGATGGCCTACGGAAAGGACTTGCCGGAAACACCGCACGGGCCTATGCTGCGCCACCGCCCAAGAAGAGAGCCTGAGATTCCTGAAGATATCGATCCCCTCGACGATCGTAATTATTCGAATCACAATAATATCCAACTCCTTCACTAATCCCCATTGCTCTCTGTTTAACACATGTCGATTTTATTCCGTCACAGTTGTCCAAGGAATACGAGAGCGCATGGACTTTCTCCAGGAGATGGAGTCCCTGGGGCTCAGTAAAAAATACCGTCCGATAATTCAGCAAGAGATTGCCCAGAAAATTCGCATGATCGACGCAATGGATAAAAAGAAATCAGCAGAGGTTGAGATGGAGTTCGAGGGATTGAAATACGAGAGACCACCGCCTAAACCGTTTCCAATTGGGGAATTGGATGACGAGTGAATTTTTTGTAATGATGATGACAAAAACTAACGAATTGTTGAAAATTCCATATGAAGTTAATAAAGGAATCTTATCGATGTTGAAAACAATTTCGGATTATTTCGATTTTTTTCCAGTCGAGAGAGAAAAACTAATGAAACGAAGGAGAATCTAATGGATTTTTTTATTCTCACAGTATGAGATTTATTACTGATAGATGCACTTTAAGACAATTGTTTTTGCGTTTTTATAATCACTAAATTATGGATTGCGATAATTCAACAAATTCAACAAAATATTGCCCCGAAAATTTGTACGCTCGGAGCATTGAATAGAAGGAAACCAGCAAGGTTGCGATGGAGTTCGAGGGATTGAAATACGATTGGATGCCGAGTGAATTGTTTATAATGATGATGACAAAAACGGAAGAATTGTTGAAAATTCCATATGAAGTTAATAAAGGAATCCCATCGATGTTGAAAACAATTTCAGATTATTTCGATTTTTTTCCAGTCGAGAGAGAAAAACTGATGGAACGAAGGAGAATCTAATGGATTTGTTCAATTCTCACAGTAAATTATTCAGGTTTATTATTGATAAATGCACTTTAAGACACTTGCTTCTGGCTCTTTAGAATAAGTAAATTATGGATTATAGATTAGTCAATTCTTACAGTCCGAAAAGTACTTTGATACTCTAGATTTCTTCCACTTCACGGATTTTATCAATTTTTCTTCAGGGAATCCGCAAAATCATTCCACGCCTTGTGTTTAGCCTCCCTTATTTCGTCAACCTTTTCGAACACTTTCTTATTAGTTTCCTTGGCCTTCTCGAAAAAATTGGCCCCCGCATCCTGGAGCCAACCCAGAATGCCCGTAAACTTCTGAAATGAGGAGAAATTAGAATCTGGAAATGAGCAGAATTTCTCGATTTCAGAATAAAGAAGACTGAATTTTCTCACTTTCTTGTCAGCTTTCTTAGCTTTTGCCAAATCGTCAACCTCTGATTGAGCCTGGACAAAAATGCAGACGATGAGCACGAGACACAATACTTTGAGGGTCATCTTCCTAGCTGCCTGGAACCCTCCTGTCAATGAACGACAGTCGACTGATGGACGAGACAATCGCGTTGCCTTTTTATACCGAATTTTGGCAAATAGTACTGTGTGCTGAGACTTTTAGACAGACAAATTTTAGTTTACAATTTTTTCGTGATTGTTCCTTTTTGATACAAAGGCTTAACGCATCACATGATCCTGAATTTATCTAGTGGGCTATCGTCTACGGTAATTCGCATCTGTGTCTATTTGGATAGTTGATGTGTCCGAATTGTCACGCTGATCCATGACGAGCACACGTCTGTTGTTATCTACCACGTGTTTTTCAATGTCAAGTTCTCTTTGTCTCTTGTATTTGTGGGGGATTTTGAAAAATATTTTGTGCCGAGAATCCCGCAAATGTTGGATGAACGTTGAAATAATTAATAATGCCCTGCTTGTGTCATCGAAATGTCCAATTACGAATTGAACTGCGGAATTTTAGTTTGGTTGGAGAGCTGGGACTGGTGAACTGTCGCATGTTCGTATGGGGCACTCTCTATACAACTAGAGAGGTATTTTCGTGATGACTTCAAATCTATCAGACAATTTTCAGTGGATATTTTCGGAGGTATAAAATCGGAAGGGGATTTCACGTGACTACAGCATCAGTTTCCGTGTTTTCGGGGAGATAAGACATCAATGACTTTAAGTATCACGTAAATGATTCCATGACTGCAACTGAGTTTGAGTGATTTCACTAATTCGAAATCAATGACTTCAGAGAAATTGAAGTCATAGAAATCAGGGAGAATAAAGTTTAGTAAAATGTTGTTGAGAAGCCCTTGTTGTAAATAGTAATTGACAGTTATTTTGTTTCTTCAATATCTGATGAAAATCCCTACTGATCCACCCAAGCAGGGGGATATAGCCAACCAAGGAATTGAATTGAAAATTGAAGCCCCTACTGACTTGGATGATTATGGACATGAAACACATGTGGAATTTTACTGAAGTCTGACTAATCTTTGAAATTTCATAATTTTTCTCACTCTCCGTAAATTAAAACTAAATCGTAAATTAATACTAAACAGTTTATGAAATTAATTTTTTTTTCTAATAGTGCATATAGAAGTAAATGATGACCCTTTTTGGCTGAATTTTTGGAGCAGAAAAGATTCTATTTCTAAAATCATTAAACTTTACTAAAAAAAATATTCACAACTTGTTTGACCTGCCCTTGACTTGTTCGAAGGTATGCCGTATTTGTTACAGTTGAACGTGGAATTCAGTCACAGCTATTTAAATACTGGAAGACTCGAGTACAAATTATCGATTGACCTGATCTACGGTGTTTCAATGTGTCATTGAACAGCTCGGTAGTTACATGGCTTATTTTCCGGTATTTTGGGCCAAATGTTTAAGCGACATTCTTCAAGTTTTCGTATAAATAGGGACCACGATTGTCTCAGCCATCAGTCAACGGTTATTCATTAACCAGAGGATCTCAACTACGAAGAACAAATGACTTTCAAAATATTGTGTCTCACATTGTTGGTCTGCACTCTTGTCCAGGCTGCGCCACAGGCCAACCCAAAAGTAAGATCATTCAAAATATTTCTACGGAATCGAATGACTTAATTTAGCCTTTCCTCCCGATTTAAAAAAATCAAAGCTGATTGTCATTCTGCAATGTTCGGGTATAACTTCACGTTTACTTTATCCTCATTCTATTAATTAATATGAAGAACTGTCAATGCATACGCCCCTTCGATTTACTCTGAATCATTACTTCTTTTGATGGAACAATTTTTTTATTCAACTTCACCAACTAACGATTCAAAATCTTGAGCCTTTCTTTCCCGACGAAGAGTGAAATTAAATAGTTTAAACAGAAAAGAATATTGTGCTTGTTAGGAATTGACAATTGCCACATGTTGTGATTGCAGTATTATTTTCGTGCATGATTATGTTTTCTGTTCGACGTTTCGAGAGTTTTCACAACTAACGAGACTTCAATAGCAAAATCTGTCTTCTTCCAGGTTCAAGGGAATGCTGGAATCCCTATCTCAGACATTTTCGAGACAAGGAGGAAGATGTGGGTGAACGACTTGAACGCTATCCTCCAAGCTGAAAGGGATATTATGAAAGGTCTTCTGCAAACAGGAAAAAATACGAAAGTGAAAGATACTGAATCCGTCACCATACTGACTGATGAAATGATCGAGGAGCGACTCGACAACTCCCCGGATGAGATAGATCTCGTTCTCCTTCAGTCTTAATTGCAACGAACAACTAAGAAATACTGTCTTGAAATGTACCATAAATACTGTATCTGATTAGTTTATTATAATAAAAAGAAGACTGCATGACATTCTCCATTGTTCCACTTTTCTCCGTTTTGGAGAGTAATTTCAACTGGAGACTTCTATATATTAGCAGGATGTCTTCCCGGAATGAACAGAGAATTTCGAACTGACGCTGTTAGAAAAGAATTAAATTTTCATGGGTAATTCAGCAGTAGTTTTCAGGAGAGCGATAAAGTTGATACTCCGTATGATTCCGCTTCTCTAAGATTATTATTTGATATTTAATGGCTCCGGCTGGTTAGGAGAAAGTCCACAGTATGACGGCTGCAGCTTCTTCTTTTGTTTCAATGTGTTTATATCCTCTAGCCCGGTAGAGCCAATCATTTCTTTTCCATTTTCGACATTTGTGTTTATAACCAAAAGAGGACATAACCACATAAATCCAATGTTTTCAAATTTGCTAAATTCGTCGTGGATTCTCTCAAAATTATGTAACCACAGCGATACGTCCCGACCTTGTCATTGTTCTTTGCTTTAAACATCGATTCTATTTCTGCGGAATTTCATTATTTGACCTCATCGTAGGTAACTCAATCTAGAATATTGCCGTTGTCACACAATTTCTCGATTCAATTCGATGTAGGTAGATAATGAATTCAATTGACAATTCAACTCGATTGCACTTGCGGTTGCAGCTTCCCTAAGATTTCAGTTGGGGAAGGTGACTTCCCCCATCATTAGCAATCTATGCGTGTGTAAGTACTGTGCGCGCTCCTCTGCGCGGCAGGAATGCGCAGTAAGAGTACTGGCAGGTTCTCTCTTTGTTTCTCTTTTTCCTTAGCAAAACAGTCCGCGTACGAGTAGGGACTTCCCGATCAGTTAAATTCGTGGAATGCGTACCCCCGAAGCTAAAATCTTAGGGAGTATCAACTGCTGGTGCTTGCCTCTCTCTCTCTCTCTCTCTCTCTCTCTCTCTCTCTTAGAGTTGAGGATATAACCATAACGAATAAGAGAAGAAGAAAGGCATCCACTGTGTCGAATTTAATTTAGGATTAGGAAGGAAAAAGGAGTGAAATTTCAGATTTCACCGAATCCAAATATAAAAAGGCAGTATTTGACATTTTGCGGTGGAGTGGGAGTAAAATTATTCCGATAATTATTCGATTATGTCCATTCAGTAGTACGGCAACATTGAACGAAAATTATCCGTTAATAATTGAGTCGAGGTATTGACTAAATAAAAAAACAGTTCATTTTGTCGAAAATTACATGGACGATTCCACATAAATTCATAACTCGGATTCTATGAAATTTATTATAAATTTTTTTTGGGAAATTACATACGAGGTGAATAAAGCAATCCTATAGCTGTTGTGGATTTAATGTCTTTATTTTCGGTCAACTCCTCATTGCAGTGGAACTTTTTTAAAACCCTATTAAACTAGGTTTGCTGGTTCTACTTGGAAAACGGCTTTCTGTCATTTTTTCCGTGGATTCGGGACTTTTCTCTTTTCTTCCTCCCAGGAGACCTTGCCAGAAGTTCTTTTTGGCTTCGAGAAGCGCGTGTAGTTGCCCTAGCACGCCATTCTGAAACTCTTTAACAGTGTCTGCGATAGCGGTTCCAAGACCGGCGAGACCCTCTTTAGGAGATGAATGAGCCTGAAATGGAGAATAGATTTTTTCATTGGAGACTAATCAGAATATGATACTAATAATATATTATAACCGTCATTAATGATGTGAATATTCTTGCGACATCTAACAGAGAAAATGATCACGCAGGGAGATAACACGACAATCACAATGTTCTCTTCATCCGAACAGAAATTTAATTTTTTTTATGAAATAAATTGATTGATAGTATAATCTTTTGTTTGAATGGAATAAATCGTTTACTTGATTCGAATAGAGAATTCATTTGCACTTGATGAATTATCTATTTCATATAATTAAAACACTTTTCACATATTGTGATGAAAAATAAGGTTTTACACTCGTGGGAAATGTATATTTTTTACCCTTGGGAGGGCAGCGCTCGCCGAAGGGTCAAAAAATACACGCACTCTACACAATTTCATTGAAAGAAATACATGGATATATTAACCCATGCCAATGTCACGCGTTTCCCCACTTCTCGCCATTATATAGTAGTGTACGTGCGTCACCACGCGTTTCTAATGGCGCGCTAACACACTGGGGCGTCCCCCACTCTCTTCACACCGACACGCTTCGTGATCTTGGCACCGGAATAGTTTAATTTAATTCTCTCAATGAAGAAAAGACTCGAAAATTTTCTGGAAACTTAAATTCGCAAATAAGATGATAAAGAAAATATTTTTAATGTGCTTACAATTTGGTCGCCCGCTGGCGCAGCCTGGACAAGAGCACAGGCAAGAAGTGCGAGACACAAAACTTTGAAAACCATAGTGTCAGCTACTTGAAGTCCTCTCTGTTCGATGAATAACCGTTGACTGATGGAGGGAACGACTTTGGGGCCCATTTATATCGAAATTTGAGGATTATAACGGAAAATTCTTCCTTGAAAATGTAGGGGAACAGAGCCCATGGGCAATTTCGGGAACTATTTACCTGCTAATGACACATTGACGTGGACAATGCTAATTGCGCCGGGCCAATCGGTGAATTCTCGGTGCATCGGTCGGCATTCGAAGTAGTGACTGTAGTGACTGAACCTTTAGTTTTTGGGCGGAGCACACGTATTCTTTCAGAATGGATAGAATGGAATTTCGCAAAATTGAAACATTGATGAGGGTCTTGACTGTTAATTTTATGTGCGTTGCAGAGTATTCAATGACTATGATTTTTATGGCCTTCGCCTTATTCACTGCCCTTTTTCATTTGATGGAATAGGAATTCATGTTCAGGTTTAGTCACACGCACAGTACTACACAATAAATTTAATCGTCATCGCTTGATGATTTTTGTCATGTTCGCAGACTCAGAATCAATGAAAAAGGGGCGGAATTCACTTACCTATAATACTAGAATAATTCTGTCTCCCGGAATTTTCACGTCAAAATATTCAACTCGGGTGAAAGTAAAGTTAAAAAATTAAGGATCAATTGTAAAAAATTTCAAACATATCCGCAGAAGCAAAAATTATTGTTTTGTAAAGAGATTTGGCAAAAAGAGAAAAGTTAATCTCTGAATGTTTAGACGTAAGGACGGCAATCACACACCGAAAATATGTGTTTTCCGTAGATAAACGCGGGGATTTAGTAGCTATTCAAACACAGGAAGACGCGAGTGCGAGAATAATGTAATTCTGAGTGTTATTAAACTGATCCCTATACTGAGATATCCATCATGATTTCCGGCATTTTAACTCATATTTGTTTATTGTTTTCGGAATTCGTTACAAGATCCTTGTGACTCAAGGGCCTTCAGCCCTATATTTTTTCGTGATTTTCCTCAAATTTCGATATAAATAGGCACCGCGATTGTCTCTGCCATCAGTCAACGATTTTTCATCAAACAGAGGATTCCAAACAGCAGGGGAAGATGGCTTTCAAAGTACTCTGCCTCGCACTTCTTGTCTGCACTCTTGTCCAAGCTGTGCCGCGGAACGTAAGAATACTGAAAATATTATTCATTCCATTTTCCGAAGTGATTTTTTTTAACAAAGAAAAACGCGTTTTGGTTTTTATGGATATGTCACTGATTTTTTCGGACTCGTCTCTAATTTTCCGGAAATGTCACGAATTTTCATTCATCCATTTCCAAGTTTTCCATGTACAGAAAAAATTTTACACAATAACATAGCGAATTCAGCTCAACTGCGCATTTGTTTCAATAAAAATGTTCAATGGAAAATATTCTATCTATAAAATCAGTCGAATTAGATTTTTCAATTCAATATAGTTTTCATTGGGCAGTTTCTATTAAAAAAATTTAGCAAAGCTCAGAAATTTTTCAACAGAATCTTCAAAGAAAAATAATGCAATTTTCGGAAATAAATATTTTCCGGCATTCCTGCATGAATATTTTTCTGCATGAAATAAATATTTTAGTCAGTGTCCAGTATCCCTAAAATTGGTGATGAATTCCTAAAAATCAATTACATGTCCCTGGAAATCAGTGTCACGTTCTTTAAAATAAATAAAAAATTCTTCTCTGTGTAATATCGACTGCCAGGAATATAATTTTTGTTAAGGATTCACAATTATAAAATTTTAGCTTATTTCCGCGTCATCAAACGTTGTGATTGCAGTCTCATTTTTATGCAAAATAATTTTGTCTGTTCGATGTCCTGATGATATTCACATTACCATTTAATTCACAATTCTGACGAGTCTCCAATAGCCACATCCATTTCCTTCCAGGCTCCAAGCAATGAGAGGGCCTCTTTAGAAGAGATTGTCAAGAAGAGTCAAAAACAGCTTTGGGAGGATGTAAATACCATTCTCGATGGTGAAAGGACACTTTTGAAAAAACTTCTGATAACAACGAAAGCGGAATCGGTAGATGGTGCGACTGTTCGCATATTGACAGAAGAAGATATACAGGAACTATTGGAAACCCTCCCGGATGAGAAGGATCTCGGTCTTCTAACCCGTTAAATTATTACGAAATCTAAGAAGTATTATCTTGAAATGTACCATTAATAATAATCTATGTGAATATTTAATTATTAGAATAAAAAAATAATTTCATTTAATTCTTCATGGCTCCACTTTTTTCCCTCTCAACTAATAATAATAATAATAATAATAATAATAATAATAATAATAATAATAATAATCCATCATGGCACATAAATAAAATTGGAAAAAATCATGGTACATGCAAGTACAAACAATTTGGAACCCATCTGTGCGATTTCCGTCTATTACTAATACATTCAAAACTCTATAAGTGGATGAAACATAGAAGGGCGCTGTTAAATATTTTTAAAAAGGACAATACATACAAGTACTATTGACGCTTAGTTCATGTCCATGAAAATTTTTTCATTCCCTGTAATTTCGACGCTGCACGTTTTTGCTCCCATCCCTTATTTGAGGGGGTGAGGGGTACACATGAAAGTAAAGACGATACAATGAGCTACTCAATGAGTACAATCGATGGCATAAAAAAAATTAATTTTCCCAACTTCGATGCCAACTTTACATAACTAAATATTTGGCTGAAAATATCGGAACAGAAAATCCAAGCGCGCCTGAGTACGACTATTGGTCTATTCAATAAACTGTTGAATTATAATAATTCTGAGTGATTCCAGTCAGGCGGCTTATACTTACGTCTTCCTGTATTTGAATAGCTGTGGTTTTCCCGTTTATCCACGACAAATATATATAATATGCTTCTGTCATTGATTAAAACGCCGAAAATCATGAAAACATGAATGTTTTCCTCTGATTTTATCGTTTTTTTGCGTCGAAAAGTATAGTTGATCGCTATAATTTCCATCGCCTCTGGCTAATTCATTAACTACCCACACGGAAAAATTTATATTTTCAAAAATATAGAAAAAAATATCTTAAATTGGCCCAATTTATATAAAAAAATATATGAAATATATGTTTTAGATATATTTTTATATATTCTTTATAAATTTGAAAAATATGTGGAATTCGGTCATATTATATATTTTTTTAATCATTTTTTTGATGGGAATATTTGTTATTATATTGCATTCACGGAAAAAAATATACCTGAATTGAGTATAAAATACACTTGAATAAGATTTATGCATTTTTGTAAATTTTTCTAGATTTTGTTTTTTTTTAATTTACGTGTTTGCCATAGACAAACGCGGGGGATGTGTGTCCTACAGATAGTCGCAGCTATTCAAATACAGGAAGACGCGAGTACAAATGACCGATTAACTTCCCTGGATTAGAATGATGTAATGAAGGTTCGTTGGAGTTTAATCTAGTCTTAATGTGTCATTGAGCAGGGCGATAGTTACAGTGAGATGGCCATGAATTTTATTTCACGTATTTTCCACCCGAACATTTCCGCAATAATTGTCGAATTTCGATATAAATAGACGTCCCGATTGTTTCAGCTGTCAGTCAACGATTATTCACTAAACTTAAGAGGTCCAGTAGCAGAAAAAGATGGTCTTCAAAGTATTGTGTCTCACGGTCCTTGTGTGCGCTCTTGCTCAGGCTGCACGTCAGGCTGACAAAGCCGTAAGAACATTAAAAATATTTTTATTTTTATTTTTATTTTTAAACTGAAGTTCAATTCACTATAAAAAATCTTATCACGAAATTTTATGATTTTTTATTTTTAAATTCAATTGAATGTTACTCTCTCTGAAACGACTAACGTAAGAACAAATAAAGAACATTGAAACTATTCTTTATTTGATTTTTTAGACTGAAAATTTCTGAGAAGTTGAAGGAGTTTAATTCTATAGATTGCACTATAAAAAATCGTATCATGAAATTTCATAATTTTTACTCTCCAATTTAATAAAGCCTCGAAGGCTGGCGGACGCTCGTGCTCGGCCGCCAGCCTTCATCCGTCGCACGGTTAGCGCAGCGCCGCTGGGTTAAACCGAACGCGCTGTTGCCACCTTGGCGCTTACCACTATGCGCGCCTTCCAAGTGCGGCAGTGAATGTAGCAACACTGCCGCTCGAAGGGTCGACAGGGACTCACTCGCAGCGGGCGGCGCGGCGCCGCTTTTCTATCCGCTCGACGTTTCTTTTCTTCTTTTAGCTAAACAAATTTGCCGAGAAAAAACGGACAACACCAACGCTTAATAAAAGGATTGAACTAGGAACTCATTTTTTCAGAATTTTGAAGCGTCGAGAAACGAGCTAAAATCTTTAAAAAAAAACGAAAACGAGCGCCGCCGCGCTCATTGAGCGAGTGATCGAGAGTTAAATGTCACTCTCTTGAAAATTATTAGTAAATTAGTAAACGCAACTGTGCATTCTGATGAGCCCCCAATTTAAAAAGCGATTTTTTCTGATTCCAGCATAAAGCCAGCATTAGCGACGCCAAGGACATCAATAGCAATTTCGGGGAACAAATAAAAGCTATTCTCGACGCCAAATTGAAGTTTTTCGAGAGTTTTCTGAGACCAGGAAATAAGGGTACCGTTGGAGGAGGAAATCCACATTCAGGCGCTGATCCTGCAGCTCCCAAATTTACAAAAGACATGAAAAAGTTATTAGAGAAGGATAACCCGGGGGTCGACGATTTGATCGGTCTGGATATATAGGATACGTTAAAGAAGGCAATTTATTTAGCATTCCACGTCTTTGTGATGTCATAGGAAATGATTGCATGGGATTTCGATGAGGTAGGAGGGGAACCGAGATTATTCTCAATATGAATAACCAGACAAAAAAAAAATATTACACTCTGTCATAATTATCACGAAAGATCATGAAATATTGTGTGAAGAATGTATTGATTTATAATCCCTCCGAAGAATTACTTGTGTAAATAAAAAATACTGTTATATAAAAGGATCCTCTATCATTTTACTTGTCCTTCTGTTACAACTGAGATGCAATTTCGAATTGGACTATACGAAATGAATAAAAAGTATACACTTAAGAGAATAAATTATACTTGAAATTTTTGGAATTTTATGAGTCGTTTAAAAAAATCATAAAATTCCAGGTTTCACTGAAAATTCAGGAAAAGTCCAGAATTTTAAGCCGCATAAAGACGAGAATTCCTTAATTTATTTGAATTTCCAATCTAATATGAATATTCACTTGTAATACCACAAGAGCTTCAAAATTATCGGGTATTTTCCGATAGGTTCGTTGCAAACAAACGAAGGAGTCAAGTTATTCAAGTTAAAAAATCACGAGTGCGAAGCACGAGTGATTTTTCCTGAAAAACTTGACGTCTTCGTTTGTATGCAGGGAACCTTGAGAAAAATGCCCGATTAATTTTGAAGCTCGTGTGGTATTCGGGGGATTATTTTTCCAATCCAAATGTCGGGCAATATAATTGGACCATGAGACGAAATTCACAATTGAGAAACGAAAATGGTATAATTAACACTCATTTCGAATAAAAATCCTCGGATTACCACAATTGAATTCAATCTGTCAGTTCGACGAGGGGTTAATTCGACTGCATGATGTTTTGTTTTTTATATAGCAACTACCAGACAAAATTATCAAAAAATTATCAGTTGAAAACCCTGTAGCTTGTACCACGTGATGTCGAATGGGCCAATTATATTGCCCGATATTTGGGTTGGAAAAATAATCACTGTCAAATTACATTGAATTTTCAGTGAAATACAAAATTTCATGATTTTTTCGTCCTAAATCGCATTCAGTGTCACTCCTGATAATTCAAGAATATATTTACCAGAATTTACTGGTTCTCTATTCATTTTCGGATAAAAATGGAACGAAAATTTAGTTCTTTTTTATTTGTCCACGAAATTCAGAATTTTCACTCTCAAGATTTCCTTAAATTTCAGTGAAACCTAAACACGATAAAAAATTCCGGAACTTGACACGGAAAATTCGGAAAAAAATTGTCACAACAGTACAGTGCGACTCTCGAATTCGAATCAACCAATTTCTTTTTTCCAAATTGTCAACTAGCGATTTTTCTCCTCAAAAAGAGTTGTTTCTGAACGTGTTCGTTTCGCTCTCCCTGCAGAGGGCGCAGCACGGCGCGCTTTATTCAACCGATACGAACGAGCCAGCGAGAGTTGAAGGGTAGGGGCTGTGAAGAAGAGACACCAACGGATCCTGATCGGCGAGAACTGGTTTGGAGTGGGCAACATCATAGTGGCCTGTCAGTTAACCGCTACTATACACCCGCGAGGGTTTTCTCTCCGCCAGGCACCAGTTACACGCCGCACGGCAATGGCGTACGACGTGCCATTGACAATTGGCCACGTTACAAATGTTTATAACAATTTACCTGGCATAAGGCAACTCAAGACGTCGCGCGTTGTCATTTGAGCGTTTTCATTAGCGTCGGGGACTGTCGGAGGCCTTATCGATATAAAAAACTATTCAGTTACAGTTCACCAGTGTTTATTGTTGTTTTTGTTCTCCCCTGGTGATTGATATTTCATTGCTGCGGGCCGACAACCGGTTGTGCATTCACATTGTGATTCAATATGGCGTCAACAGATCTGTCTTCGGGTAAATAGTCATCACTTTATGAGCTCATTTCACGCGGCATGTGATCAATCGAGTTAACGACTGTTGGGGAAATTACGGGAGAGTCAATTCACGCTGCTGGCGATTATTTGGGAAGAGGATTTTGCAATTTCAGATACATAATGCAATTGATTTTCGATATTTAGGCGATATTTCTCTCGCCGAAATGAGACAATTGCGAGATTTCTATTTCCATTTTTAATAGTGCCGTTGACTCTCCCCGCCTTTACCGTTATTTTTCCTATGAATATGTACTCCACGAATTCACTGCTTCCATCCTTATTCCCCTTGGTTCATGCAACTCTTTGTTCTCAGTCTCACGTGCCATCCGGTGCTGTCGTTCCCAGTCACTTGCATTAACATTTTAGTAATCCTTTCTTTATTTTGTACCTTCAGGCTCAATACCACCTTTCTATCGTGAACTCCATGGGAAGATCTGCTCCCCGACTAGTGGTAATGTTGAGCGTGAGGTCTTCAAATCGTTGCTTGTCAAGTCACAGTTGAGCAGTCCCATTCTGAGTCAGGTGAGGTTGCACAGGATTTTTTTTTTTTTTCGGAAAAAGGGGAGATTGTCACGCGAATTTGGGTCAATGACTCGCGATCTGTGCGAAAGACGATTTTTTTTTTCTTGGGTTGTGGAGATATTATTACGGGCGATTTATGTACGAGGTACACGCTCACACCGATTGCGTCAGTGTGACCTTCGGCGGAAAAATTTTGCAATTTGAGGTTTTTCTGTTCTAATAATTGTTGTGGGGAATTATGACATGTGAGTCGTGTTACTGGGAAAATGTTTGGGGTTGAGAAGACAAATATTGGGGATGGGACGGCTTTATCGGGGGGAAAATATTTAATTGCAACAGGAATTTTTTGTTATTAAATGATGAGGTGGATGAGAAAAAATATTTAAAGCGTCAGTTGGAAGAGAGTTCTTGCGCATTTGCTGGGGAATTCTTCTAGAAATTTTACATTTCCTGAGGCCTTTCTTCGAATTAAAAAAAGGTGATCTCTAATTAAATATGAGATGTTGATTTTTGTCTGGAGTTTATCCGCTTGAGGTTTTTTCTATTAAATTCCCCGGCATAAATTTTCCTAGTTTTTTTACTGTTTCTATTTCCGTCCCTCTTTAAGATATTCGAAGAAAAAACTTGAGGAATTTATGCCGAGGAATTTTTTGTAAGAAAAATCTCAACGGAATAAAGCAGCTAGAAAAATGAAAAGTCTCATTGATCTTTCGATTTTTAGTTATCGATAAATGTTGACAGAGTGGAATTTGATTTTTTTTTCATTTTGAAGGTCGTTTTTCAGGCTTCAAAATTAAAATTGACTGGTCCGAATCACATCATTTGTTCCAGAAATATTGATAATTTAAGAAAATTGATTTTACCTCTTCCATATTGAGTTGGTAATAATTATTGCGGGCATATCACATGAGTCAATGTTTACTGTGAAAACATCTGGCTGTGAGAATCCACATATTGAAGATGGCACGTTTTTATCGTATGTAAAAATGTGGAATGGTTGCACGAATATTCTTTTAATGAAATGATGAAATGTTTGAGAAAAAATATTCAACGTGTCAATTTATTTAGGAGAGGGTTCTTGCGCATTCACTAGGGAATTCTACTAGAAAATGACACACAATCTTATTGAGTGAGATGTTGATTTTTGTTTAGAATTAATTCTCTTGAGGTTTTTTTCTAAAAAATTCCCCGGCATAAATTTTCCAATTTGTCAATATTTATTGCGAAAATATTCAATTGTTGCGGCAACTTTTTGTTTAATCAAACGATGAAATGTTAAAAAAAAAATTCGAAACGCCAATTTAGAAGAGAATTCATGATTTTTATTTTCATATTGAATTTTTCATTTCGAAAAACAGACAGAATAAAATATTCAATAGATTTCCTTAATGAATCAGAGTCATCGGTACAAATCATCTCATTTTCTATCCTTTTTTATCTCGTCTGGGGGACGTTCCCAATGCTATCAAACACGTTATCGAGGTCCACAGTGGCACAGCGATACGATAGCTTTGGACTGTTTCATTAAAATTTTCATACTTTTCCCCTTTCCATTGCAGAATAATCTCCACTGACTCATTAGCGACATCTAAATTTACAAATTCATGTTTTGAAGAATAACTGTGATAAAAAAATTCCGATAAATATCTCGAACAGCTGAGAAAACTCGATCGCACGAGATAAATGTAATTAAGCCGGAGATAATTAACTGTAAAAAATTGAGGAATTTTTTATGTGACGTGGAGGTACGATAGCGAGGCGTGTGACAGTCACGCTCGAGACTCTTCAGGCTCGTTAATTTATCCAGCAATCGCAACGATTTCCGCAAATATCTTCCGGGCATGTGCAGCTTCTGATTCTTTCGGTTTTCAGTGGACAAAAATGACGAATATGAAATTGACCCCGAGATATTTGAACCGGTTACGACGAGAGTACATGTAAATTGAAGCTTTACTAAGCGTTATACATGAAGATTATTAGACATATATATTTTCATTGTTACGAATAATAAAAAAATTATATCGACATTGAGGAATTAAAAAAAGAGGAAATGCTGATTTTGTAAAATTAATAATTTGAGAGAAATGACAGGAAATGCGAGATTGGCGACTTTTTAGAATGAATGTCAACTAATTAATACTAATACTAATTAGTACATGAATTAATAATTAATAATTAAGTAATTAATTTGTTTAAACGAAAAAATCAAAGAAAAATGTCCAATAAATGACGATTAATTTATTCAAATCCTATGGATGACATTTCGAAAATTTTCATGAAACTCAGAGAAAAAAAATATTTTTCAGTTTGCAAAATGAAGAATATCAAATTGACCATGAGATATTTGAGCCGGCGATGACGAGAATACGTGCGAATTAGAGTTTTAGTTGGAGTTGTCCATGTAAATTATTGCACATATACATTTGCATTGGTAGTAATAATAAATGAAATTATACCGATTGAAAATTCCTGAATTATGACTTCACGCCAATATAATAATGAGGAATTAAAAAAAAGAGGAAATGCAAAATAACGAATGCATGATATTTGAGCCGATTATGACGAGAAAACATGCAAATTAAAGTATATAAATGAAAGATAAATTATTTAAGGTCGAAACCTGAGGTTCCA